TACCATACCACCCGAAGGAAGCGCGAGGCCTGAGATAGTGTCAGGTTGCCCGAGTCCAGTTGATATGCCGAGATCGGGTTCGATTCCCGGTCAATTAGTTCGCGTCCTAACCGCTGATCCGTCCGGAACTTGGATCTAGACTCATATTCATGAAATTTTTATCCTCCGCAACTCTCCTGGTCCTGACAGATCCAGCTGATTACCGGTAAACCTTCAGTGTTCATTACCAATGTATAGTCATCCCTTTTTAAGAACGAATTTTCTACGCCAACGCTATTGCAGGTTATCGATTTTGGGTGAACATATCCAATATTCTTAATTGTTCCCTGTTAATATCTCTTCTTACTGATTAGATCCATACGTAATGGGTCACAGCTTTCTACCGTGAGGAGTTTCGTTTCCACTGCTAAACTTCCGTAAATATCTGTCCAGTCGTTTGGTTGCTAAGGCATTATCGAACGCCTTTCCCACTTGGAAGTTCAAACCGATATTTTTGTTGTTTGAAGTTGAAGGACTACAGTGATAGCACCGCATAATCCATGCGTTTTTTAACTTTGCTAGGCCAGAAGATCCCAATACGAGCATGATGTTGTCATCAGTCTCAGCAACTTGATGAGGGGCACGCTGAAAGTTTCGGCTGATTTCGTTGTACAAAGCGGTCAGCGGGAGTATACGAAAATCCCGCCAAAAGCAATACAAGGAGGAAAACAGCGTCTGAATATTGTCAGATCCTAGATCCTGTGTGTCAGGACGCGCCCAGACAGGAAAAAAGCACATGTGCGGAGAGTAACGCATTCCCATCGGTACGACATGTCCAGAAAGCAGGTGAGTTGGAGGCTCCCACCAACCACGGCTTAGCAAGGCATGCCCTGATTGGTCAGAATGCCAGCCAATCCGAGTCAAGCACCTTGACTCGACGGTTCTCGCCCCCTCACGGACATTCTGGCACGACCTTGTGGAACACTCTGTGACTACCCTATATATAAACAGTTGTACTGATTTTCCTTTGTCTCCATAAAGGGCTGTGTACAGCTACCGTGCCTTTTGCTATACCATAGTGGGCGGAGCAGGAAGCCAAGGGACCGACACAGAGTTGCACTACCGTCCAGCAAGTTATAACAGTAACCCATTCCCAAGGTCACCATCGGTACGACATGTCCGGAAAGCAGGTGAGTTGGAGGGTCGCACCAACCACGGCTTAGCAACATACGACCAGCGTAGTGGGCCTGACAGTGTTCACGACCGGAACATCGCCACTGGCTTTACGGAGCGGACAAGTGAACGACCATAGTTGGCCATTTAGTCATCCTGACAATACAGCCGTGTCCCGAGTTCTCTGTCTTCTCCCTATCGCGTAGTCTGGCAGGCTCAGTGCAGGCGGTAACCCATAGACGGCCACCCACGATACAACACTGTGATAACTGGCTTATTCTGTGTTGCAACCCGAAAAAGACACGCATCGCCCTCAAAGAATATAATTAGTCAACAGATTTAGGAATCGCTCCTGTAAGATCACAGATATTCAGCGCACGGAGTTCATATTCGATGCAACCAACCGGTTGGTGTAGCAAGATATACTAGAATACTTCTCGTTTGTGTTAGCTGAATGTCTTTTTAGTTCGTACTGTGCTCGAACGATTTTCGGACTACCTCGATGTGCAAAATTTCTATGAAATCTTGAAACGATGATTTGAGAGTGTTTTGACAAGTTGGAATGGTAGAATACCTGGATTAAGTGTTGTGTGCAAAAACTGAGAATCGATTCGTTTGTGTTCCGGTTACTTGGACGATATTACAACAAAACGCAGAATTCCTCACATGACATACTACTTATAAGGTTGCTGAAAACTTATCGACAACACGTTAGCAGCTTCGTCTTCCATCGGCTGGGCGTTGCACCCTTATTTCCATCGACCGAATGTCAGAAATAATATGATAGACTAGAACTCTACCGTGGATTCTTCCATTATAACCAACTTTGTTTGCAAGTGAGTGCATTTCGCTGAAACATAGAACTGATCGTCGATATGTGCATTGAAAGTTGCTGAACCACTGACAGTAATAAAAGTAACGTGTCAGTTTACATCAGTTTACCATTAGTTTGTTTACAATGTTACCAGGAAGCTCTATATATTGTACTACCCCTAGTTGAAAGTGATATTTAGGAATTCGTGTCAAAACAAGTCTTTCCGGGGCTACAAAACGTTTGGTTTCTGTAGGGATTTCATATGCTTCAGTCTACTTTTATCGTGGGTAGTCCGTATTTATGAGAGAGGGAAAACCCAAAACTAGGATATTTATATTGCCCGTTTTTTCCTGTTAGATGAACCTGTCAAAACAGCTGCACCTGGTCTTAATCGCTGCCTACGAGACATTATTGATTTCCATCGTTTTAGAGGTTTGTTTGAATTCACGACGAATAACAATATCTCCTGAACTGCTGCTCGAAACCATGCTGGGAAAACTTGACACACCCTGTCGATCGAAGCGTTCAGAAAGAAGTTTGGAGGTGATTACAATGAGTTGAACATACACTGATTGGGTGGTTTTATAATTAAAAACCAGCTGCTGTTTGGTCGTAATGCATTACTCATAAGGTTGCTGAAAATCCGTCGACAGCACACGACCGGTTTTGCCCTTCTTGGGGCTCATCATGTAGGCGCAGTCCCCGAGTTTTCGTCAACCTCATGTTCTACTTCAAACCAAAGTGCACGGAACTGGCGAAGTACACTCATTTGCAAACAAATTTGGTATTGCAGGAGACTCACCTGGAACCCAGCTGAATCTCTCGCTTGTGATATTTCCAGGCAACTGAATATGCTGCACCAGGCCGCCTCATGTTTCATTTGCTACGGTATTCGAGATAGCGCGATACATGTGTATTCTTAATGCACTAACATCACAAACGAGAGATTAGGCTGGGTTGCAGGTGAGTCTCTCGCAAAACCAAATTTGTTTGCAAATGAGTGCATTTCGCTAGCTACTGTTTAATTCAGCTGAGGTGACCAAGTGTCGCGTCACCAAGCAAAACAACTGAAAATACTAGCGAAGACAGTAACATGGGTGCACATTTTGTGTTGGTTACACGAATGTTGGGATAAGAAAAAACGTTAAAACCTGAACGTTTGTCAGTACTGAACAATGATATCACGCATTTAGCATTGGGCCAGTGACCACAACTCCAGAGCACCGTCCTCTGAAACTGATCGGTATAAAATAAATAACAGTCAGAGTTTTCGAAAAGAATTTCCTTTCGTATGACCCCACTCATAACAGCAAACTGTTGATTTCACCCTCCCAGTTAGGTTTAGTCCTTGAATTCTCATCAATCCTCTTCTGCACTTGAAATCAGAAAGTACGTGCTAATAGGCGCTCATTCGCAAATTAGTTTGGTTAACTAGGGACACATTTGAAGGGATTCATCTGAATTCCTCGTCTATAAGAGACCCTGGACAAGCGGAACCGAATTTTCGTAAACCTTGTGATTGACTTTGTGTGGTTCGAACCCGACCTCCGCCTCTCGACTTCCTCTGTCTAGACTTGGGCAACCTGGTATTATCCCTGCCCTCGTGCAACCTTCGGGTGTCATGGCAGTTAGGTACCGAAAGGATGCTACAGATTAACGGTTTTTACGAAGGAAAACACAAGGGGGATAGTATGAATTTCACTCCAACGATATATATACATATATAGCAACAGTTCTGCCATAAAACCAGTTGAGGAAATTCACCTTGCATTCAGCTGGGTGTCCTGTTAACTCCAAGGTAATTCGCAAATCAGTGCATATATACACCTATCTACAATGTGGTCCTAAGAAGGATAAGATTGGCAGCGCGCTTTTAAAGAGCTTTCAGCAACCTTGTAAGTAGGCTAGGATCTAAAGTACCGCTCCAACCGAAACATGCAGCGAACAGTGCGCGACACACTCGGTTGAAGATGAGTACAACCCGGCGGGGCTGTCTTTACTAGTTTCAGTCTTCTATTAGTGACCAATTAGTTTGCAACCCAGCCTTTATCCTCGCACTAGTTTCACTAATGAAAGCAACAAAAGAACGAAACGCTCAGCATTTTATTATGGACCGCTTTTGATGTTTAGGCCACAATTGAGCTTTCAAGTAATAATCGGTTCTGTCTCACACAGTCAGAAGATGCGAGTGTCAGTCTGCATGGACATCTGATTGTGACCCTCTCCTACTGACAAACTGACTGACAGTTCTCCATCGGTCGACCAGGTCCATTCTGCTTGTGGACAGTATGTGCGTGCGTATGTGTGATCGCCTTCGGTGACGTCTACCGACTGGCCCAAAATAGTTGTCAGCAGATGACACTATTTGTTAAGTTGATTCGCTTGTATGTCACAATATCTTAGGCACAGCTCCCGTGCGGCCGGTCATAGTTTTTTTCTGCGGTGGTTGCCATCTGCATCACATAAGCAGGTACCACAATTTCAGGGATTAAGGTAGCTGGGTTACTCGAACCAATCCAATCAGCACAAACGCTTCAACCGCAGTTTTTTCATATGAGCCCTTGCAGTGCTCAGATGACCTTGAAACAATCGATCACGCCACCGCCCCCGTGATGGACGCGCAGTTTCCCATTGGTGCGTGTGAGGTCATACGAAGCGGTAACCCGCGGACATAGGAAGCAGTCGTACCTTTGATCTCCGTCGGTGTGTCGAATCCCATCGTATGAGAAAACTACAGCGTTTTTTTTAAAAGAATCTTTCGAAGTGATACTGACATAAGGTTGTGAAGAAAGGCCGCTTCAGACACACTGCAAACAGACTACTATTCTAAACAAAATTGCGTGGTCTTTTTTCCACTGTTCTCTAAAGCGATATCATTTCTGAACCAGTCAAATCACAGTACCCTCAGTGGTTTTACTGACCGCCTTATTTGCCATGCTGAAGTTGATATACCATGGCATTTTCACGTCCCCTAGTACATGGCACAACAGATGCTTAGGAAACTGGAGAGGTGTCAAACATACAACAAACTCACCTTGAGTTTATACATCCCAATCGCTTTCCGTGTTCTTTGTCGGCAGCCAGCACACAAGGACGTCCATAGCTATGCGTAGGCGTCTTTTCCACCCCGAATCCAATTAGGCGGTATTGAAATGTCCCCCATTTGGGGCTATCTTCGATATAGTGAGTAGCATAACCGCCCACCTGAGAAAAGGTATTCCATATCCAAGGGTATTTGTCCACAACAGTCGTGTTATGGCTGCTGGTCACACGAGATCTCCTCGATTCTGGGAGCTCGTCTTCAAAGTACCCAGTGAGCAAGGCTAATAGGTTGGTGGTTGTCCCGTCCCCGACCACGTTGTACAATTGCATGGTCACTGCGTTCGGGTTGGTTTCTAGCATATGCATGGTTTTTGGCAAATGGCGCAGTGCAGCTGAATGAGACACAGAATCTAAACCGAGAAGTAAAATATTGTAGCCGGGGGTTTGATTCTTCAAAATAGTTGGGGGTGGTAACTTTTGTGGGGGATGAGAACCACAGATGAAATGCCGTGATTGATCCTTGAACGCGCTTTCATCCCAAGACACACTACGTTTAACTTCTAGGTTTTCCCGTGGTTGACAAAGGACCATTACCATTGGCCAAGGAAGTTTAGTGTGATCCGAGACGTCATCCACTCCTTCACCGTAAACTGAGATGAAATCATCCATGCGAATTATGGGAAATACGGAGCAAATTCGTCTAGATTTGTTCCCCCCGATTGGTTTGTGAATTCGCAGAACACCCTGCTCCACCCAGACATCCTCTTGTTCAGAATCGATCAGTTTACACACGGGTAATTGGGGAAGATGAACATATCCCTGTGGCCAGATTTTCACTGAAGGACACTGGCATTTTTGCTTGTATTCTCCTACCAGAGCATGAGTTTCCTGAGAAATTGTTGCACCCGTATCCGCTGAATACTGTCCACGGAGAGTAGAGAAGCTGAATAACACCACGTAAAAGGCGAGGAGAATCACACAGAGTAAAACACACGAGCGAGAGTACCGTAGGGCCTTACGGAACATTGGGTAGCATTTGGCGTGACTTGCGGGGCTTGATGCGTCTTGTGTGTGTCCGACCAATCAATGTACCGCTGACACCCCATTGGTCGGGACGTTAGACAAGGAACGTTTACATTGGTCCATTATTCAGGCTGAATTGAAGCAAATCTCCGTGCCTATCGTAAACAAGTGAAAGGAAAACTGTTGGGTCGATGCGAACCGTGCCCCAGCATTTTTGAGATCACACAAGACCTCGAAATCCCATGAGCCAGTTTATTTAATCCTGATTACACCAACAGTGAAATCAAGAGTGTGAGAATTTTCTCACTTTACCATACTGTCCGTTCGGCTGACTGGCGTTCACGATTTTCGTCTTGCCTGTTCGCTTAGCTCTGACCAATTATTGTTTTTTGTGTGGGTGAAGGCCACATTATTAGTGTGTTTGTCCGATAGTCCTAGATGGGGGGACGTACATCTCGTTACACAATTAATGTCTTGAGGATAAGTATGGTTTCGTGATTAACCGAATCGATCAATCCGCTTATGGAGTGTCTACCGATTCACGCCTCCTGTCTTGTCGAAACATTTGGTGTGACCACATGATCGAGCCATTGTAGTCAATGATGTTGGATGTTTTCTCGGATTGAAGTGCCCGCAGCACAACCAAACACCCGTTTTCTAATCACCTCGTTGCTAATACGCTGACGCCATCCACAACCAGCCACGCTTCTGAGGCATCGGTGGTCGAAAACCTGAAGACGCCTCACATCATCTACCCGAAGAGGCCATGTCTCGCACCCATACAACAACACAGCCCTTACTGTAGCCTGGTACACACGACCCTTAAGATCCAGTGAGATGCGTTTTTGACGCCACAAGTGACGCAAATTAGCAAACGTGATTCGAGCCTTTGCGATTCTTGCACTGACTTCATCAGACACGCTTCCGTCAGAGCTAATACAACTACCGAGGTGTGTAAAGTTTTCCACAAACTCCAGTAATTCTCCTTGAATTGTAAGGGATATGTTCGCAGATGACACTTTCTGAAGCATGATTTTGCACTTTGAAGGTGCAAGGCGCATGCCAAATGATGGTATGTTGGTGGCCAGTCTATCTAAAAAACTTGTGCTTTGGTTTGGTTTTCAAAGATGAGGGCGCTGTCATCTGCGTATTCCAGATCGACAAGGCTCTCGCCAGCAACAATTTGAACACCGGGGGTTTCAAAGACCGTCCAGTGTTCATCCACTTATCTCAACCAATATGAATTTTGTAGAATGATCACTTCCTGGGTGCAGTAAGCCAACCAGTGAATTAATATAACGAAGCTGTTTTCAGAATGGTTTCATCAAGGAAATAATGAAGCCTCGTATTGGCAAAGCCCCACGGTTGCTTTCTTAACACTACGATCATGATTTCGTTGCTTAGAGGAGGAGTTTGTGCACCTGGAGCTTATTTGAATTCGTGGTTTCAAATAGACTTGCTAGAAAGAGCATAAAAATTTCCTCTCATGTAAAAACCTTCCGTTCTACGGTTCACTTATAATTGCTGTATTACTCTGCCAATGCCAAGAGTCTTCTGAGAAAGTCGAAGGTGGCAAAAGACATATGTGGAGCTCCTCTAGTGTGTAGGTAGAAGCAAACTGCGAGAAGCTTACTTGACGGCCAAGGATTTGGTGCATTGAAAAGGATTCCCTCGTGTTACGGTGGATATGGTCGTAGCTATTTTTCAGTGGTGAAATGTGGGAAGCCTCGTTACAGTGCGAATCCAGTTGATGATAATCTAAGTGAAATACGTTAACTCTTGTGAGATCAACTGACTTGATAGGGTCATTCGCATCCAAACAGCCGTGAGGCCCCCGGTTTTACAAACCAAGCAACGGGTTGCGAGCAGCTGTTCTTGTAAAGTATATGTATATATCAAATTGCTTGGGAAGAGGAGAAAGTCACACTACTGTGGTACAAACTTCCCCCTAGCGACGAGTTAAATATAGGTTTGTAGCGTGAAATATGTTATCCAGGAAGACAGTTTGGATCAAACGCTAAAAGTTACAGGGAACATCCCGATGCTTGCGAAAGCCGATTAATCACAGGTTGCTGGGAACTGTCATACTGAAAAACACAACATAACTATTCATAACAAAATAGAAAATCCTGCGAAGGCAAATTTCTCGCTTCTACTCATAATTTTGAATCTACAGGGCACGGAATCATGGATTGGTTGAACACATTCGAAATGTCGTCATGCATCAATAAGCGGCCACAGTATTCCACCATTAAATTTACCCTGTGAACTTGCTTTCAACAGCAGAATATCAGAAACTAGCGATATTTTGCTTTTTCTTGAGATTTCTATCTAACTGGATAAATTTTATCCACCAAGTTCGGTGTTAGGATAAGTTTGACATACCCCACATCGGTTCGTTTCAATATGCGAGAGGTCTTACGAATGCTACACCAACCGAAAAAAACAACTCCAGTTCAAGTGGAACACTTAGATTCATAACCGTACTTAATGTTTAGTATTCTGCTAGTTGAAACAAACAAACAAACAAACTTTGTTTGTTTTCCCCAACCGATATGACCCCTAAGCGAAATTCTACCTCAAGCAACTGCTGGTGATTATTTTCTCTACCTGAGTAAGCCTTCTAGGGAGTTATGTGAACTGGAGGCAGATTTAGAAGTTTTCAGTGGTAGTGAACTGAAATCACAAGTTGTCATGAAGTTCAGATTCCTGAAAACAGTCCCGCAATGCAATCCACCGAAATCGCAGTAGGGAAGCCACCAGCCATCCAAGCCAGCTTCCGATCGATCGCTCAAACAGTAAATCAATCCCGCAGCGGCTGACAAGTGTTCAGGCATGCCACAGAAGCACCGTCGACAGTGATGAGTATTCACCAAACGCCGATCAAACAGACTGGATCAACGTCAAAATTGTCCTTTAACTAGCGCGACGCCCTTTGTCACTTGTGTATCTGCTTGTTCGCAATAAAGCTGTAGTGTTCCTCACTGGCGAGTCTTTTCTGACACCAGGGCAATGGAGCGGGAATAGCAGTTAGTTACATCAAAGATGAAGGTGGAAAAGTCGAGAAGCACTGGACATCTGTATCATTCTTACTGGAAATAACCTCACAAAACCCTATGGAGTCTCGAACCCACGACTTTTCGGCTAATAGCTTGAGAACAAGGCATTTGACCAAAAGAGCCGGCACTGTGAGTAGTTTGAGATTGTGTAGTTGGATTCTCCTTTGCCAACACATTAAAGACACGATATTTATTTGCCCATTTTCAGAGACTACTTGGTTGAATAGCTTAACATCCAAAAATAAAGTAAATGAGTAGTTTCCTTTATGAAAACAAACGTCATTCACTTCTCTCAACCCTACATGCACGTAATCACTGTCCGAGTTGAAAAATGGCGGTGATTCGTCCCATCTGCACAGTCATTACTCCTTGTCTTGTGGAATAATCGCCCGCTTATTGGCCTTATCGCTCCGTGGATATCACAATCAATAGCACTTTCGGATTCGGGTGTCTTCAGTCGTAAAACAAATTACTAGTCGCAAGCTCCCTTTAACCGAGAATTCGTTCGTCGTGGAGCCAGTTAAGACCGCGAATGAACTATGATCCACAAAATTGTGAATTCAAATTACTGTTGTTAAAATGGTTGATCGAACGGCATGGTGCTTTTTCACCAGGAATCCGAAAGTTCCGTGTTTCGATTTGCCCAGAAGTTCATAGAAATGTGCATAATTGATTATTTCCAGCAGGAGTGAAGCAGATGTACAACATTTGGGCCGCCGCATGCCATACACTGAGTCCACTTTCAGGACGGGGTCTCGATTGGGAAAGAAGTTTGCACTTTAGTCCCAGGTTGTAGGTACGCACAACTATTCCCCCTGCTCAACGAATAACAGGTGAAAGAAAAAATGCCTCTTAGTTATCTAAAGTGATCACATCGGTTTGGGGAGAGATTATTGCACAAGGCCAGTCCATCCTTATCACGGAGTGTCAGGATTGTGAGAAGTGCATGTCAAGGTCAGCTGACTTGAAACGAATTCCTTGTCTGCCTGAATAAAGTGATTAGTTCACAGACCTTTGCTTGATGATCACATTGGTCCCGATCACAGAGGAAGGGGATACCGAAAACGGAACTTGCACCTCGGAGTACGGTAACCGAGTCCTCTCTGCTTGACTTCCAACCCCCTGATTCATGAACTACTGCATCCCAACCGCATGTTGAGTAAAGCTGTCGGCGTCAGAGGACCCTAAAAAAACTCCTTATTATTATTTTGCCGATTTCTTATCCCCATTGGTACACTTACATTTTACCAATAAATTTCGTTTTACTGCAACCAGCTTCTTCCCTTCACGCACATTATCACACTATGACAGCATAATGGCCTCTGCTACTCCCGTCGCTGACACATCCCGGTTTAGTCTGTAGAATTTCAGTTCTTTCTTTATCAGAATAGAGGCTCTTGATAGGGCATCAAAGAGTCTGAGGATAAAGTGGAGTAGCCAAGCGAGAAGAAGCAGGACTTTGTCAATAAGGACGTGCATCATCCGATTAAACCTCGATCCAGTCGGCCAGACTGGGAATTAAAAGTAGAAAATTTCGCCACCTGAAAACGCATTATCCCTTTGGGAGAGGGGTTGCTTTCCTCGTGGGATTGTCTGTTGTTCCCTATCTGTTTAGACAGAACAATACCGATTCTTTCAGCGAATCAAAAGACAAGCCGATGAACGATGAATTTTTATATTTTGGTGGGGATTTAGCTGTCCAAGAACTACTTATAAATATTTTTTCAGTTTCTTCTTTAGCTTTTCTAACGCCATCCGTTTACAAGCAAGTTCACAATCCTAAGGATGTAGTTGAACGTACTGACGAATAAAATGAACTCAAATGCTGCCTGTGTTGAAATCCCCCCGCTATATGCGACAACGGTTATAGAAAAATATCGGTCCTAAACGTATTTTGTCTGACTCACGATACTCTGCTTTCAGGCAGATTTATTGTTTACACGT